AAAGTACTGTGCTAAGAATTAAGAGGGCTGAGGCTCAGCAAAAAAAGGTTTGAACGACTGCTGTTTGGAGTAGAACAGTAAACTGGAAATGAAAAAAATGAGCACTAAGGGCCTAGATGTTAATTGCAAAAGAAAAGGAACATCACATGTTCAAAGTAATCTAAAACAGAAGATGAAATTATAATATCAGATTCCTACAAACTTTGTAAGGAAAAACAACAAAGATAAAGTAGTTATATGGAAAGGTTTTCAGAGATATAAAACCCCAAAGCAGTTGATAATTGTATATGTCAAAATGTACTACACACATCTTTACATAGCTGAAGGACTTCTAAGATACAGCAATAGTTGACCTGCTTTAAACAGACAATAAAATTATTAGAGCCAAATTCCAATATTAAAAAAGAAAAAAGGCCAGGCACAGTGGCTCACGCTCGTAATCCCAGCACTTTGGGAGGCTGAGGTGGGTGGGTTGCAAGGTCAGGAGATCGAGACCATCCTAGCCAATATGGTAAAACCCTGTCTCCACTAAAAATACAAAAATGAAACAGTGAAACCCCATCTCTACTAAAAATGCAAAAATTAGCTGGGCATGGTGGTATGTGCCTGTAGTCCCAGCTACTGGGGAGGCTGAGGCAGAAGAATCCCTTGAACCCAGGAGGCAAAGGCTGCAGTGAGCCAAGGTCGTGCCACTGCACTCCAGCCTGAGCGATGGAGCATGACTCTGTCTCAAAAAAAAAAAAAAAAAAAAAAAAGCTGGGTTTGGTGGTGCGTGCCTGTAGTCCCAGCTACTGGGGAGGCTGAGGCAGGAAAATCGCTTGAACCCAAGAGGCAGAGGTTGCAGTGAGCTGAGACCACGCCATTGCACTCCAGCCTGGCAACAGAGCAAGACTCAGTCTCAATTTAAAAAAAAAAACAACAAAAAAAAAACTTTTAACTTCTAAGTCACACTTTAAGAAAGTTTTGACGCCTGTACTCCCCGCATTTTGGGAAGCCAAGGCTGGCACATGGCTTGAGCCCAGGAATTCAAGACTAGCCTGGACAACATGGGGAAACCTCGTTTCTACAAAAAATGCAAAGAATTAGCCAGGCATGTCGGTGCATGCCTGTACTCCCAGCTAGGAGGCTAAGGTGGGAGAATCATCTGAGTCCAGGAAGTTGAGGCTGCAGTGAACCATGATTGTGCCAGTGCACTCCAGCCTTGGCATTGGAGTATGACCCTGTCCTGTCTCCAAGAATAATAAAAAAAAAGTTTTGACTCTTTCAAAACATATTAGCTAGCCCTCTGAACTCTGTGTCCTCCACAAATTCAATAAACTTAACTTTATTCAGCTTACTGATAAAGCAAGGACGTATACTTTCAGCAGGACACTGAAGGCCTCCTTTAAGGATTGATGATTTACTATCTTTCATTGTCAAACAACTATACCCTTCAGGGTATAGTTCTCATCAAGCCCATAGTTCTCCATTTTGACCATAGGACATGATAACATTGTCAAAAATGCTCTGGTGAAATCTAACTATACAATGTCAAAGGCATTTTTCTAATGAACCAGGTTATTAATCCCATTAAAAAGGGAAATGAGGCTAATTTAGCCACTCCCCAGCCAGTTCTGTTTCTATTCAAAGTAGCACCAGCCTTGATTTTAAATAATCCTACAAATTATGTTACAGAACTACCCTGCAGAGGTCTCACTACATTTCTCCCAAAGACAAACTTCAGTCTTCCCACTTGATGATTAGTTTTTTTAATTTTTTTGAGACCAAGTCTCACTCTGTTGCCAGGCTGGAGTGCAGTGGCGCAATCTCAGCTCATTGTAACCTCTGCCTCCCAGGTTCAAGTGATTCTTCGACCTTACCTCCCCAGTAGCTGGAACTACAGGTGTGTGCCACCACGCCCCACTATCTTTTGTATTTTTAGTAGAGACAGGGTTTCACCATGTTGGCCAGGCTGGTCTTAAACTCCAGACCTCATGATCTCCCTTCCTTGGCCTCCCAAAGTGCTGGGATTACAGACATGAGCCACTGTGCCCGGGTGATGAGCTACTTTTTAAATGTATGAATAGTCATCCATCCTCATCCTCGGTCTCACTTTCCAGTTTTAGTGATGTTTGGTCAACCATGATCCAAAAATGTTAGACAAAAACATCCCAGAAATAATCAATAGATTTTATATTGCACGTTCTATACAGTATGATGAAATCTCCCACAGTCTGGCTCCACTGAGTATATCCATGTTGTATACCTTACTCGCCCATTAGTCACTTAGTAGCCCTCTTGGTCATCAGATCAGAAAAAAACAGTATATATGGGGTTTGGTATTGTTCACCATTTCAAGCATCCACAGGGGTCTTGGAATATATTCCCTGAGGATAAGTTGGGGGGCTGGGGTAGATGGTGGCAGGGGCTACTATATAAGGCAATCCCCCATCACCTCCCAATGAGGATATAAAAAGATTTTCTGGCCAACTTGAATACATAGACTTTGGTTACATATAGATAAAAGAATCAAATGTCCATTTATAATGTCATATTAGTTATACAACATTAAAATAATCCACTATATAAAATATTCATTTAGAAATTCAGCTTTTTCCCTTAATCAACATTTCATAAGTCACTGTTATTCAATCTTTCTCAGTGTAACATTGGCATCTGTCTTCATGTTCACTAGAGTAACTAAGTCATTTACTAGCTTCTTTTTTTCCCCCAAAGTATTATCACCTTCCCTTTATTTGTAAATGTTTGAGTTAAAACACTTTTTAAATTCTTGTGAGCTTTTAAGCCTAAACGCTAAGTGCCTGTTTTCTGTACATTCAGGCAGTTTTTCCATTCACAGGTCTGTGCTGTGGATATAGATTTAGAATTTCCACAAGGTAAGTATTTAACTAATATAGACCAAAGTAGCTTCCACAGGTAAGTACTTACCTAATATGGACCAAGGTAGCTTCCACAGGTAAGTACTTAACTAATAGGTGCCAAAATAGCTTCTCCTCTAAACAATCCTTTGAGAGGTTTTGTAAAAAGTAGAATAGTGACTTGCTCTTTGCTGGGAGTTATTTTTGTGGAGAAAAAGACCTTGCTTTACATCCAAGTAATCAACAGGTCAAAATTTCACAGAATCAGGGACAAAATTATTTCTTAAACACATTTAAATTAATAGCATAGACACTGTTTATGTAAACACACAGATGCATTAATAGGTGTCTTCAGAAATCAAACAAATTTTTTCTTCTTTTTTTTTTTAAAGTCTCATTCTCACCTGGGCTACAGAGCAGTGGTGTGATCACAGTTCACTATATCCTTTAACTCAGAATTATCAATAGCACTCATATTGTAGGAACACTGTGAAGACTAATGTATCTAAAACAATCCCCCCACCTTAGCCTCTCAAAGAGTTGAGATTATAGGAGTGAGCCACGGTGCCCAGCCCACAAATTTTCTTTCTGAACTAAAGCATGAGAACTTTGCTATACCATCATAAAAGAGAAAAGCAGAGTGGGATGGGTTACTCAACTCTCCTGAATTCGTTTTCTTAAAATTGTATTATATACTAATTAAGTGCCAGGCATGGTTTTGAGCATTATAGATACATCAACTAATTTAATCTTCACAATGTCCTATGATACAGGTGCTATTTATTGATAATGCTGTCCTACGCATAAGGAAACTTGCCCGAAGTCTTACAGCTTGTAAGTGATGGCTATTCAGGGGGTCTAATTCTAGGGACCCTCTCTCTTTTAAAGGGGGATATATGGGCTGGGTGCTGGGGCTCACGCCTGTAATCCTAGCACTTTACGAGGCCGACGTGGGTGGATCATCTGAGGTCAGGGGTTCAAGACCAGCCTGGACATCATGGTGAAACCCCATCTTATTAAAAAAAAAAATCAAATCAAAAATAAATAAAAGGGGATATACAGTACTGCCTCTTAGTAAAATTTGTTCTTCATTTTATGAGCGTCCCATCTATTAAACAATCAATATCAGTGGTCTAAAGAAGACATGATGGTTAGGTTTCTTTTTTATTATTTTCTAGTATTCATCCACATTGCCTGAAGGCATTAATGAGAGGTCTGAGGAAGAGGTGGTTCATCCTTTGTATTAAGTTGGTACAAAAGTAATTGTGGTTTTTGCCACTAATATTATGTTCTCTGAGTTAATCACTACCCCCATTTCTGTCAGTACTTTGAAGGCAAATGATTACTACAAACACATGCACAGAACATACTAGTTCCAAGTCTTCCTCATTCTTCTCCAAACGTTTAAACTGGTGGTGGAGAATCTGCCCTGTGGGCCTAGATCTCCCTTGCTATATAAAACTAACTTTAAATGTTGTCTTTGACAAGGTAAATTTCCTGCGCCCTAAAACGATGTAAGCGCTTCCTCAGTTGTTATCTGGTTGTGTCCTGTAACGGGTGGGAGTTAGGAAGGAGTTTCCTAAGGAAAAAAAGGAAAAAGATGAACTCGAGAATGGGAGAATTAGAAGGGAAGGTGTAACACGCAGAGAAGGGAGGAAGGGGGTGGAGTGGGAGGCACGGCTGGTCTGACTTGGAATTTCGAGAACAGAAATGGAAGAGGGGGGTCGAGTCACTGAAACCTGTTAGGCAGCATTTTCTTGGCTTTCCCTTTGATGCGTCTTAGACATTGCTTTACAAGAAACTGAGACCTCAGAGTCCTAACGGCCCAGCTGGTCAGGGCACCGCACGACCATTCATCTCCCGCTCGCGGCCAGAGCTGGTCCCTCGAAAGCATCACTCCCCTCCAGCGCCCAGTCAGGCTTTTCTCCCAGCGGCCGGTCGGCGGGAGGGACCACCAGAGCCTGTCGACCCCAAGGCCACAGACCCGCGTTCTCGTCCTCGCCGGCTGCCACCGCGGCTTCCCTTCCGGTGGACAACCCCTGAACACTCCCACGTTTCGCAGCCGAACCTCAACGGTGCCTTTCCCAAAGAGCCGAACCCGGCGGCTACAGAGTAAAACCCAAGCTGGAGTGAGGGTCTTACCTTTAACAGATTAGACGTCGCCATGTTCCTTCAACTTGGACTCTCGCGAGACGACGCGAGAATTCGCGGCGCTCCCGGCCAGGCCTCGACTGGACGCCGGAGTTAGCACCGGGGTCCAGGGCCCGCCGGCCCGTACCGGGGTGTAGTGGGTGCCGGGACGGCGTGCTGACAGCGCTGACCTCGTCCAAGCAGTGGGAGCTTCCTCACTCTTGTCCCCTACATGGTCAGCGGCGCTTCCCCACTCGAAAGAGCTCATGCAAGCGCTCAGGAAGACGGGAACGGCGAATGCTGAGAAGGGAACGAGAGTTGACCTGACTTGGAAGAGGAAGCATGGACTCCACGAGCCTCCCCGACTCCTTCGGAATAGCCTTTGTGGTTGCACCCGCCGCGGCCACCGCAACGAATTTAGCTCGGCTTAGGCCCCGCAGCTCAGGATCCGCGGCCGCGTCACGTGACGCAGGGGCGGGGACGCGCTCGGGAGCGAGCGTGGGAGCCTGGAAGCCTCGGTGGGTCCCGAGGCCGCGGCAGGGCGGGGAGCGCGCCCTCTGCTGGCAGGACCTGGCGTTTTCCCGCACCGCCCCTAAATACCGGACTGAGTGTTAAGGGAGGTGCATTGTCCTGAAATGCTTACAAATACTGTCTTCAATAACTGGTGCATAGAATGCGCCCAGTAAATATGTGTTGAGTGCACAAGCGTGTTGACTAGTAATGTTTATATTCAAGAGTGCCTGGCACTTAAATAAAATATTGTTCAGCGCTTTGGGAGGCTGAAGGGGAAGGATCACTTGAAGCCAGGAGTCCAAGACCCCCATCTTTCCAAAAAGTTTGGAAAAAAAAGGATTGTTCAGGGAATGAATATTAATCTTCGATTTTCTGAAGGCACATTATCCCAGAAGATCCTAAACCATAAGCCCCTACCTTTTACCCCTTCAGACCACAAACCACTGGCCAATGAGAAAATATAATTTACATGTAGAACCTACAGGATACCTGGTATTACATCATGCGTGTTTGCAAACAGCTTTCATACGGTCATAATGCGTAGAAATAAGTAACAGCTCTGCACTAAAAGCAGAGAAGAGGGATGAACCTACTTAAAGAAGGATGAACCTACTGAATAGTCAAGTAGCTAATACTTGTTTGTGCACTTGTATGTACTAGGCACTGGAAGTACCGGATTAAATAAAATACCCCTGCCCTCTTGTAGTTTATGGTCTAATAAGGTAGCCAAATATTAAGCATAGTTACACAAGTCAAATATTACTTAGTGGGAGTTGTGATAAACACTGCAGAGAGACCGGGTGCGGCTCACACTTGTAATCCTAGCACTTTGGGAGGCTGAGGCAGGAGGAACACCTACAGTCAGGAGTTTGAGACCAGCCTGGCCAGCATGGTGAAACCCCATCTCTACTAAAAATGCAAAAATTAGCTGGGCATGGCGGCAGGCGCCTGTAATTCCAGCTGCATGGGAGGCTGAGGCAGGAGAATCACTTGAACCCTGGAGGTGGAGATGCTGTGAGCCAAGAGCGTGCCATTGCACTCCAGTCTGGGCGACAGAGCAAGACTCTGTCTCAAAAAAAAAAAAAAAAAAAAAAAAAAACTGCAAAGAAAAAATACAACGTGCAATTGCAAGCATAAGAGGCGAAAGGAAACTAGTATTCTAATCTCCACCTACCCAAGCCACCCTTTGCTTATGAGAGGAACTTTAAAACTGAACCTTAGGGCAACTTTTAAGAGCTTGATTTCAGCATCCCACTGTCAACCGAAGCATTTCAATTTTCCTAACTCACTTGTTCTGGAAACACCACTGCTACAACTCTGACTTCAATAAGTTCTCCATTCCATTGACCCCACCACTTCCTTGTTATATGCCATTGCCTTCTGTTTTCACTCCTTCTCATCCAATTTAAAATCAGCCCACCGTTATAAAAATGTTTAAATATTTAAAATGCTTAAATATTTATTTTTAAAAAATAGCACAGGCACATAATGCAAAATTCAGAAGGTGCTAAAAATAATACAATCAAAAGTGGGCCTCCTTCCACTTTCTAGGGTGATGTAATGTTCTATATTGTGGTGGAGACTTCAGTTATTCAGGTGTATGCACTCGTCAAAACTCAGCAAGTATGCCCTTAAGATTTATGCATTTCAGCCAGGCACGGTGGCTCAGTCCTGTAATCCCAGCACCTTGGGAGGCTAGGGCAGGCAGATCGCTTAAGCCCAGGGCTTGAAGACCAGCCTGTGCAACACTGGTGTCTCTATAAAAAAAAGATAAAATTTTTAATAATTATGCATTTAATTAAAAAAAGTAAACAAAATTTGAAGTTTAATGCTATACATGCTGAAGAATTTAGGAATAAATGAATCTATACTTATAATTTTCTTTGAAATGTGTCAAAAAAATAAGATGAATTGATGGTTTGGTAGAAACATTGATAAAGCAGTTGTGGGGTCGTGGCTCATGACTATAATCCCTGCACTCTGGGAGGCTAAGGTGGATCATCTGAGGTCAAGAGTTTGAGACCGGCCCAGTCAACATGTGAAACTTTGTCTCTACTAAAAATACAAAAAATTAGCCAGGTGTGGTGGCAGGCACCTACAATCCCAGCTACTCAGGAGGCTGAGGCAGGAGAATTGCTTGAACCTGGGAGGAGGAGGTTGCAGGGAGCTGAGATGGTGCCATTGTACTCCAACCTGGGCAACAAGAGCAAAACTCATCCCATTACTGGGTATATACCCAAAGGCTTATAAAACATTAAGTTATAAAGACACATGCACACGTATGTTTATTTGTGCCCTTTCCATAGCAAAGGCTTGGAACCAACTGAAATGTCCATCAATGATAGACTGTATAAAAATAGCAAAGAGCCGGGCACGGTGGCTCAAGCCTGTAATCCCAGCACTTTGGGAGGCCGAGGCGGGTGGATCACGAGGTCAAGAGATCGAGACCATCCTGGTCAACATGGTGAAACCTCGTCTCTACTAAAGATACAAAAAATTAGCTGGGCATGGTGGCACGTGCCTGTAATCCCAGCTACTCAGGAGGCTGAGGCAGGAGAATTGCCTGAACCCAGGAGGCGGAGGTTGCGGTGAGCCGAGATGGCGCCATTGCACTCCAGCCTGGGTAACAAGAGCGAAACTCCGTCTCAAAAAAAAAAAAAAAAAAAAAAAAAAAATAGCAAAGACTTGGAACCAACCCAAAATGCCCATCAATAATAGAAGCTGAAAACCATTCTCCACCTCAACTACTCTCTCTCTCTCTTTCTCTCTTTTGAGACAGAGTCTCACTCTATTGCCCAGTCAGTGGGCAGTAGCGCAATCTCGGCCCACTGCAACCTCCACTTCCTGGATTCAAGTGATTCTCAAGCCTCAACCTCCTGAGTAGCTGGGATTACAGGTGTGTGCCACCATGCCTAGCTAATTTTTGTATTTTTAGTAGAGACAAGTTTCACCATGGCGGCCAACCTATTTTTAGGGAATGGAGAAGATGATCTGGAAGTGGCAGTGGAAGCAAAGAGGACCCATGCACAAACCCCAGGCCCGGCGCTACATCAGCTATCCTGTGAGAGAGATGCAGAAAAAACAGTGACTTCGGCCGGGCGCGGTGGCTCAAGCCTGTAATCCCAGCACTTTGGGAGGCCGAGGCGGGCGGATCACGAGGTCGAGAGATCGAGACCATCCTGGTCATCATGGTGAAACCCCGTCTCTACTAAAAATACAAAAAATTAGCTGGGCATGGTGGCGCGTGCCTGTAATCCCAGCTACTTAGGAGGCTGAGGCAGGAGAATTGCCTGAAACCAGGAGGCGGAGGTTGCGGTGAGCCAAGATCGCGCCATTGCACTCCAGCCTGGGTAACAAGAGCGAAACTCCGTCTCAAAAAAAAAAAAAAAAAGAAAAAACAGTGACTTCAGGAGGGAACCAAGTGTCACATAGAACAAACAAGTAAATGGATTTCTTCTTTGCTGTAGTTATAAGTGTGGAAGCTGGGGAGGGACGCTCTTCCCCAAAATCCATAGTATTCTTGGTAATTCTTCTAATCCTTGCTGGAAGAGACAGGGAACCCAAGGAGAGCATGGGCTTATCTGGGATACTGAGAATTTTGGGGAAAAAAATTTTAATGACTACTTTGGAGCTATTCTTCTCTAACTGTTGTATAGTCACTTATCCTTTCAAGATTCTTCATTTGTCAACCAATCATTAACCAGCTTCTGAAGCTTATGCCTCAATTATATTTGCTATAAATATTTTCTATAATGATATATTGTTTAATTAATTATGATATATTTAATTCAAGGATGAATTGAATAATATAGGGCTTGGATGGGCATGCTGGCTCATGCCTGTAATCCCAACACTTTGGAAGGCCGAGAAAGGAGGATTACTTGAGTTTAGGAATTCAAGACCAGCCTGAGCAACATGGTGAAACCCCATCTCTATAAAACCCACAAAATTAGCCAGGTGTGGTAGTGCATGCCTGTAGTCTCAGCTACTGAGGAGGCTGAGGTGGGAGGATCCCTTAAGCCCAGGAGGTTGAGATTGCAATGAGCGAGATTGTGCCATTGCATTCCAGCCTGAGTGACACAGTGAGAAACTGTCTCAAAATAAAAATAAATAGTATGGGGCTTATACTATTCTATTTATATATAGCAACCTCAAATGCTGAAAAATAGTAAAAGTGTCTAAAAATTTCGTTTTTTCTTTTCTTTTCTTTCTTTCTTTTCTTTTCTTTTTCTTTTTTTTTTTTTTTTGAGACAGAGTCTTGCTCTGTTGTCCAGGCTGGAGTGCAGTGGCATGATCTTGGCTCACTGCAATCTCTGCCTTCCAGGTTCAAGTGATTCTTCTGCCTCAGCCTCCCCTAGTAGGTGGGCCTATGGGTGGGTGTACACCACCATGCCCAGCTAATTTTTGTATTTTTAGTAGAGACGGGGTTTCACCATATTGGCCAGGCTGGTCTCAAAGTTCTGACCTGGTGATCTGTCTGCCTCAGCCTCCCAAAGTACTGGGAATACAGATGTGAGCCACCGCACCTGGCTAAAAATTTTAAATATTAAACCACATCCTCATGCACCACCAGAGTTAACCAATTCTTGAAAAAAACAGTGCTTAGGTATATGTTTTTTGGAACAAACAGATATTTTAACGAACCCGTTGGGCTGACCCACTTACATCCTGTGGATTTGCTTAGGGGCCAGTTATCTTCCACTATGTTAGCTAGTGTTGTTGATGAACGGAACTGGGGCTAGATGCAGGTCTTCCACATGGTGATCCAAGGCTCTTCCTACCTGAAAAATGGTTTCAGAGAAAAAAAAAAAAAAAAAAAAAAAAATCGAAGAAAACAGAGATCAAAATGCTCCGAGCAGGCTTCTTTTGTCCTGTGAGGCGGAACCTTCACTTCGGAACCTTCAGTTCGCCTTCCCTGAGGCTGCCTCAGCTTCTGGTTCCTCTGCTCCCGTCTACAACTGTGGATTCGCGCCCAAGATGTACCGGACTCTCTTCCCGTGGGACAGGTGGTTAACCTGATAGGGTTCTAGGTTTTCTAATGTTTTCACTGGACCTGTTTGTTTATCCTCTAGACCTGTTTGCTCCAGTGACCGAATCAAGCTCACCCCTTCTCCTTTCCTCAGCCAGTAAAC